CGGGTCACTTGCCCACACAGGTACACGCTCAGTATTGTTGGGTATGTGCCCAGTTTTGATAGAGACAACATTCCCACTTTTATTGCTTTGAATAGGTTTTTGAATTGAGGAAGGTGCACGTTGGTGTTGCCAATTTTTATTTTTTTGCTGATTTCTTCCTCCCCTCCCTCCAAGTTTATTGGCAACCATTGGAAAACTATTAGTTTGCACACTACGATATTGATTTTCGAGGAGGGCTTCAAAAACAAATAATTCAGATTGGAAATCAGATAAGGATATAGATTTTTCCAGCTGGGCAAAATAGCAATTTGAGATAAATGGAGTGTAGGTAGTGTTGAGTCCTCCAAGGATATGAGAAATTAAATCTTCTTCCGAGAGCATACATGTAGGATAAACGTAATATTTTTGGAAAGAAATTATGAACTCTAAATAACTGTCCTTGTGGACGTTTTTGCAGCTGGAAAGGAAAAACGTGAATGTGTGAGATTGAGAGAATGAGAAAGAGACTAAGTACTTTGGGGCCTTTGTGTTTAAATCAATGAGATTGAAAGGAAATGATCGAAATTGAAAGAGTTAGCCTAGTGTCTTATTAGCCACGAAAATGGGACGGGATGTGAGTACCTAATTATCATTTATTTCTCAATAGTTATCAATATTAACCAACTAATTATCAAATAACTTAAAAAAAGTTACATAAAGTATGGGAGTAATTAAGAGCACTAAATTTGTAATTGTTCTATGTATCTACATGTTTTTAGAAAATGTCTCGTTTAAGAAATTAAAACAAAACTTCTAAAATATGTTTTCTTATATAAGTACCTTATATAGGTAAAAATATAGGCAAGTACATACCTTCAAATAGTTATCGTCGAAAATCATATAAGTTATTTACTTTAAATAAAGTGGTACAATATAAATTATTTATAAAAATAAGTATTTAAGTAAATATATGCTAAATTTTACGCTTAAAAAAATAAATAGTTAAATAATTGTTTTTAATATTTTCACTAGTGTTATTTAAATAAATATTGGCTCTATAATTAAAATAATTAAGTAATTATTATTAAATTAATATTATGCACTCTTTAAATATGAAGATAGGTATTATTCATTCTCTTTGTTATAGATTAGTTTGCTAGATTAATAAATTTTTGAGAAAAATAAGATTTATAAACCTTTTTAGGAAATTAATAAGTTATTTAACATATTTAAAAATAAAGTGTAAAGAAGAAAGTAGATACTTAAATAAAATAGCACTATATATTTTATCCTTTTTAATAAATCAACCTTATTCTTAAAGTTTCAAAAATCATATTTTCATAATTCCAAAACTTAATAACTAATTTCTTAATTTAGAGCAGAGAAATTCACTCAATTACAAGAAAGATAAATAAAAAATGAAACTACATTAATAATACATGAGAATTAAATAGAAATTCATCCCCTTGTAATCATGAATATTCAGGTTACACATATTAACACAAATATAAATAAAAAATGAAGAAAGAAGATAGAATTTTTCATAGAAATCTGCTACATGACTTTTGATATCTCAAAATAATTTTTACAAACCTTCAAAGATTTTAGAGTTAAGTACGATGTTAAAATAAGTCATGCACATTTTATGTGTGTTGAGCATAGGCTTTTTATAAGAATGTAGTAAATTCAAAAACCTCTTAGCGTTGAAATGCTCACTAAGTAGTGTTGAAACTAAATTCTTAAGTCTCAGGGTGTTAAAACGTTCAACTTAGATGTTGAAATACTCACTTGTTCTACTCCCATTTTTCTATTCTTGATTCTCTTGATATCTTTCATTTTTAATCCCTTTCTCAAGATCCTAAGAACAATAAAAATATAGTAAAATACTATATATTATAATGTAATTTATTAAAATCTTCTATATTTTTTTTCTTTAAGCATCAACATTTTATTTAAAGAATTAAAATCTTCTACATAATTGTCTTAAAAATTAGAATACTCAATAAACAATAATTTATTTAAGTTAACATATAATTAAAGGCTAAATATCTTCTATCACTAGTTAAATCCTTATGAAAATATGATCTAACTATGACACATGAATAGGCAAACAAATTATCTAATTAAGCTTCATTTTAACACCAAAAATTTTATTAACATTAGATAAATAGTAAAAAAAGAATGAGATATTAATTTGTTCTGCCAAGAGGTTGTTGAATGTTAATTTTTAATTGAACTAAATCATAGAGAAAGACTAAAAATAATAATTTATTAAAATATAAGAATTAAAATAAAAAATATTGTTTAGAAAAATTAATGCAAAAAATTTACTAAAGTATAAGGACTGAAAACATATTTATGCCTTTAATCAAATCTTAAAATCTTCATATTTAATTTTATATAATAACAATAAATAAAAGTTAAAGATAATAAACAAGATATGTTAAGACTACAGTTTTTAAAACTTTTATGTAGGTATGACTAGTTATATGTTTGAATTGCCAAGACAAAATCGATAAGAGAAATTTATTATTGAGGACAATGAACTATGCAAATTACACCTAAAATTTTATGTATAATTAAGTGTTTTATGATATTTTTAAACATAATTACGTTGAATAATGTTCAAAATAATAAATTTATTGTTATTTAATAAGTAATACTTTTTGAAGTTTTTCATTTTTAAAATATATTCTTTTATATTTAAAGTATAAGCATTTTTACTTATTATTTAAAAACATTTAAAATTATAAACATACTCATGAAGACGTATGCATAATCACTAATATTAAAGATTTTAATGAAATTTTAAATAGCATATTTAGTTTTTAATTGTATTATTATAGTTATTTAAATAATAATAATAATAAATTATTTCAGTAATAAACTCACTAAAATATATGTTAAATTGTCAAGCTCAATATTGCTTAAACAAGATTTTAAGTTTGAGTTTTTGTATTTAGATTAAATCTAATAAAAAAAAGTATAATTTGCTTTGAAATAATCATATTTACATAAATCAAAACAAACAAAATAAATAAATAATTAAATAAAATAAAGTAATTTAAATGTATAGTGTGGTTAAACTTTTTTGAGATATTCTCTAAAATATTTTTAATCATATATTTTTTAATTCTGTATTTTATATTAAACATTTTTTCTTCTTTTCTTGCCTTTTAAACATTTTTCTTTTATTTTCCTTTGAAATCCAAAAATTTAGAACATCAACAAAATATTTTTATTATTTTTTCAATAATACCATTATTTATTAAAAATCATTTTTACTAACTAACAATATAAATAAATTTAAAATTAATTATCCCATGTTGTAATAACTTTATCACATTTAATAGGTTTATTTTAGTGAAATTTATATTTTTTATAATTGTATATACATTAATACTAAGTGACAATTAATATAAGATAGAGGAAGTAATTTTAACTTTTAAGACTCAATGTAAAGAATCAGTAATAATAAGATTTTATTAATATATTTATTAATTTTTTTACATACATCTAACTATACACAGTAAAAATTTATATTTAATAAGTTTTAAAAAAAACACATAAAAACACTAAATTCAATGCATTAATAATATTAATTACTATAATTTTAATAAAATTTATTATTTTTTTATTTTTTTTCTCATGTACTTTTAGACACACGCTAAAAAAATAAAATAGTATACCGTTGACCGTAAATTTTAAAGTTTTGTAATAACATTAAATATAAATAATTTATTAAAATAAAATTCTAATTTTAATTGATAATATTTAGCAATAACACCAATAGAACAGTACCTACATTTTCTCTTAACTTTTATTTGAACTTTGTTTGTTTTGTTACTTGATAAACAGGTAAATTTTATATTTTTTAGCAGAACAGTCCTTAATTCAACCGTATAATTGCAAATAAATCCTAATAAAATAAAATTTGCCAAAATCAATCAACGGTGGCAGTGTTTCAAATGAGGAATGGAATGGATCATTGATGGATGAGATTTTAGTTCCATGCTTCTTGTCGCAGTGTTCCTAAGATCGATAAGGGTATCATAATAAATAACAAAAATATTTTATCCCCGGTGACATTCAATGGACCACTTCTAATTTTGACACAGCCATTAAAAGCCACACACAAAAAAAAAAAAAATTAAAAGTGTTTTACATTTCTAATGAAAATAACATTTCAATAAAAATGTATGTATAAATTAATTTTTACATGCATTTTAATCATTGTCAACGGTTTAATATTAGTTTTAATAAATTTAATTTTACTCAATTTTAAACTAAATAAACACTAAATGATATAAAACTTATTATATTAAAATGCATTCCATGTTTAAGGAGCATTTTTGTTTTTTAAAATAATTGTTTTTAAAAATTCAACATTATTAAATAAATTGAAAGAAAATTACATTAATTTATGTTAAATTAATCTACAATATGCTTAATTTAATATAAAAAGTGTAAGATATGTTCTAAGACCATTATTTTATGAGAAGGAGATGGGAAAAAGGAGATTGCCTTGCATATTTTTTTTTTCTTGTTGTATGTGATTAAATATTTTTCAAAAGACACAAATTTCTCTTATATTTCACACTTTATTTCGTTAATATTACGTGATTTTTTTTAATATCAAATATTTTATATTTTATAACTTTTATTCTCTCAAATATTATTAATTAAATTCACTTAATTATTTTTAAATTTAAATATGATATTTGATAAAACATATCAAACTATTTAAATATAAAAATAATATATCTTAATTTACATAATTTTTACTTTAATTTGGAAAATCTCATATCTTAAGTTTCTTCTTATTTTAAAAAATACAACCATAATTATGAACGATAAGAGCACCATTATTCTTTTTTCATTTTAAAATATACGATTTTATTACCATCATCGTCATTTAATAATAATATAGTTTTCTAAAATATATTTATTTACCTGTAATTAAAAAAAAAAATTAATCTTTCAAGCAGAGTATTTCTTTGCAAACGGAGCAGCTAGGGCTTAAGCCTTAGAAACTGCACACGTAAAAGAAAAATCATCAGGTCTCCACTGAAAGAGGAGAGTTATTCCACAAAGCAAAAACACAGAGAACCAAAGAAACCACATTTCCCATCACTTCACTCCCTCGTTCGTATCTCTTTTGGTCCTTTAGGGTTTTCCATTTTCCATGGCCGAAGTCATCAACATGCCTCTCGATTCGCTCGATAAATCCCCTTCCTCTTCCGCTCCTCCGCCGCCGCCACCACCTCCTCCCTCCTCCGTCGCCGACGATGACCTTCCTCCGCCGCAGCAGCATTCCTCGTCCCGCCGCAGGGATAGAGACTTCAGAGACCGCAGAGACGATAGGGATTTTGATCGTCCTCCGAATCGCCGCAGCGGCGATTTCTACGACCGGAACGTGTCGCCGCCTCCCAGAGACAGAGATAGGGACAGGGACTTCAAGCGCCGCCGCAGCCCGAGCCCTTCTCATCGCGACCGGCGATATTCTCCTCGGCGCTCGCCTCCGCCGTTCAAGCGAAGGAGAGCCAGTCCCCGCGGCGGTTACGGACCCGATGATAGGTAGAATTCGCTGTCTTTGTGTGATTTTGAGAATTGAATGCCGTATGCTTGCCATGAATTTACTATTAGGTTTTAGGATATTGAAATCGAGTGCTGTGCTCCTTGTGTTAAGCAATGCATTACTGCTATTTGGTACGTATTTTGTAAGAAGTGTTACGAAATAATTTTCAACCAATGAGGAGAAGGATCGGTATATGGTTGAAGTGAAAGAAGGTTAAAAGAGAGAAATGTTGTTTCGAGAGGAAATGTCGTGTAACTCATGAAAACTGTTTTGTACCTTATAGCATTTACCTTTTGAGTTTATTTGATGTTGCGATTCTTGTTTCTAAATGGCAGTTGCCCCACCATTTTGAAGAGGGAATATCACCTTAATCTGATCAAGTTTTATAATAATCCCTTGTTAGAACAAATGATTTATTGGAATTGGTTGCTGCTTCTGTGAAAACTGTAGTTCTGGTGCCCACTGCATGTAGTAATAGTGTAATGTAATACTAGTAAAGCTGATGGTGTACTATGACTATTTGTTATAATTTCTTGTATGTTAATAATTGAAATGAATAATATAAATTTCACTATTGCAACTTGACTAGGTAAGGATGAGTTGTTATATGTGGAGTGATTTAGAGTTGTATATGTTCTCATGGTGATTAAATTCTTCCTATGGCTATGAGAGACATAAGGCGTGGTATGATATTTGTTTTTTATGTTGTAATGGAAAAGTCTTTGCTATAGTGTGCTTAACATGTTTCTTTCTGTTTCTCTATGCTAGTTGAACTTAGTTCCTTTATTTCTTTGTACACCCTTTATTTAAGCTGTACTTCATGCTTTATGCAAATCTGCTTTTACCCTTACTTTGCCTCATCATCCTATTACAGCAGACATGGATATGATTATTATGGAGGTTATGAAAGGGGAGTGGGTGGAAGAGTTGGTTATATAGATGAGAAGTCTTTTAGCAGGTTTGGACATCGTTCTGCAGGGGGATATCAAAATGGAATTTCCGGTATGTCTGTAGTTGCTACTAAGTACTAGGATCTTTTTCGGTATAAACTTAATACCCATTTTATCCATAACATTAATTCTTGTGTTATTTTTTCTTATACTCATTACCTCCTGCTTTTGAATAAGAAAATGTATTTGTATAATAATTTGAGTTTCTCACTCTTAGATTTCATGGTTTCTTTATTGCATTTTGTTACCTGTGGCATAGTTATGAATAGTTCACTAGTGGGACTAGAGCAACGTAGCAGTACAGAGCAGCAATGGGCTGCTATGAAGTTTGAATAGCAGTTTTTGTAGCTGCACGGCCTGTCAAAACAGTGTCATCAGTAGTTTTTTAGGGTTAAAGTTGAGATTTCTTCCTTCTTATCTAAAATTAAAATAAACTTTGATTGGATGTAGTTTCCACTCTTTTCTCTACTTCGCAACACCCTCATGAAGCAATACCCACCCACCCTTCTCTCTTTTGTACCACTAACACTCATCTCCAGAAAGTATTTATGGCAGCAGCCACCTCCATTCTTTTCTCTTTCCTAAACTCTGAATCACCTTTGTTTTGAACTCTGAACTCTCAATCTCTTCTTTCCAATGTGCTGACACCCATCCTCACTTTGATTCAATGTTTTAGATGTCCTGACTCTTGTATTTGAAATTTGATTTTTTTTCCCTTAATTTTGTTTGTTTCTTTGACTTTTGTTGCTATTTACTCCATAGTAGTCAATCCCGGACAGCAGCGCGGAGCAGCCGACCTCAAAAACGCTATAGCGGCATAGCGGATAGCGGGATGGTCGTTATTTTAGGTATTATAAATATACTCATAAATTAAATTACACACATATATATATATGCTTAGATGTCAATAACAAGTAACAACAAAATATAAAAATAAATTTAACTAACTAAATTTAAGTCTCTAATGCTTAGATGTTTAAAAATACTAAGTGTTCAATTCAAATACAAATATTTTAATAATTATCATCATCTTCATCTCCAAGATTTGCCATGTCTTCTTCATTTTCACTTTCATCACTACTTTTATAAAGAACTTCCTCCTCTTCAAAGTCTTCCTCATCACATTCTTCTTCTTCTTTTTCTTCTTGTACAATTTCTTTCCCTTTTCCCTTAGATTTAGATGAAGAAGCAATTATAGTTGTCTTGGATTTTGATCTAGCTTGTCGCTTAGTGTAGGTTATAGGCTCACTAGCCCCAATTGCATTAGCAACAGCTCCCCAAGTCAAGTTATCATCATCAAACACTAATTCATCTACAGCATCTTCATCATCTCCAGCTATTCCTTCTAGCAACTAATTATTACTATCATCAACATCTTTTAAGATAATAGGATCCACCACGTCAGAACACTCAAAACGTTCATTAAGAGCTTGGTTATATTTAATAAAAACCAAGTCTTGTAACCTTTGATGCTCAAGTCTGCTTTTCTTTTTAGAATGAATCTATTTTACCATAAAAAAATATATATTAGATTTGCACTTTTAATATAAGAACTTTAAATTGAAGTTACTTGATATTTATTTACGTGCTCAAAAGTACTCCAATTTCGTTCACATCCAGTGAACTACAAGTCAAACTCAACACTCTAATAGCAATGTTTTGTAAATGTGGTGTACGTACTCCATAATTCTTCCACCATTCAGCTGCAAGTTATGCATCAACTTATTAACCTTTTGTGTTATATCTACATAATTACATTACAATAAAAAAAATTAAACAAATCTCTTACCAGGAGCCATTGTAGCCCTTTGTCTTTTTGCTCCACTTAAACCGAAGAGACATTCAACTCTTCTATATGTTGACAATTGAATTGTAGCATTGTCTACATCATCTTCACTTATACATAGCCTCTCAATACATTTATACAAGCCCTCCACAACTTTAGGATCATTCTCAATTTGTTTATTGCTATAAAAAAAATTGAGGATTCAGATAATAACCTGCAGCATGTAATGGATGATGAAGTTGACACTCCCATCTTCTATCAATTATAGCAAAAATCTCCTTATATTTGTCTACATTTCCTTTGAATGCATTTTGAATGCTTTCTTTAGCTCTATCAATTGCCTCATATATATAACCGATTGCAGGCTTTCTTTCATTATCAACAAGTCTCAAAACTTGCACAAGTGGCCCCATAGCCTTAAGACTGAAAACCACATCATTCTAAAAAGAAGGCATAAGCACAGTGTCTGCTGCCCTTTTTCCTTTAGCTTCTTTGGCTGTTTTGGACTTTAACCACTCATTGGAAGTGAACATTGTTCTAAGGTTTTTTTTATTATGCAACTTTTGTAATGTGAGGAATTTTGTGACAAACCTTGTTACTCCATATCTAACAATTCAGCTTTATTTGTGAACCTCCTCATAATGTTCAAAGTCAATGAATGATTATAAATAAAACTCAGAAGAGTAACTCCTTTTTGGATTGTTCTCTTGATTCTAGGTATTTTTCCAATGTCTTCTAATATCAAGTCAATACAGTGTGCAGCGCATGGAGTCCAAAACAAATGTGGTCTTTTAGCTTGCAACAACTTACCTAAAATTAAATTGCATAGTCTAAAATTAGAAACTAATAAAATAATTAGAAACTGATATTAATATAGAGAGTTAAGAATAATTCTTACTGGCTAATACATAATTACTTCCATTATCAGTAACTACTTGTACAACATTTTTCTCTCCAATCTCTTCAACAAAGCTATCCAAGAGCTCAAACAACTTTTCTCCAGTTTTCATATAAGCAGATGCATCAATACTCTTTACAAACATAGAACCAGTTGGACAATTTACTAAGAAATTGATCAATGTTATATTTTTTTTATCCGTCCACGCATCTGACATAATTGAACATCCACATTTTTCTCTTTCTTCTTTATGACTTTTCAACATTTCTTTTGTATACTCTAACTGCTTTTTAAGAAGAGGAACTCTACACTCATGATAAGTAGAAGGCTTTAGATGTGGACCATAGTTTCCAATAGCTTCAACCATTAATTTGAAACTTTTTGAGCGCACAACGTTGAAAGCAATTCCATTCCTACAAAGAAATCTTTCTATGTATTGAATTGTTCTTGCTCTTGCCTCTTTGATACAAGCAACATTTATACTTGTTTGTCTTTTTGATTTTGCTAATTTGATGCTTGTTTCTGGACTCTTTAACCACAATAAATCTAATAGGCCCTTGACATTTTTTCCTTTTTTGGTGGCATTACAACCACTAACATAAGCTGATGCAACACTTGAGGTTGAAGGTCATTTTCCACTACGAATATTTTGAATTTCTTGCACCTCTTCTTCCTCATCATCATCTTCATCATGCTGAAGTAAATATACCTCTTTTTCAATTCTCTTCTTCTCATGAACTGCTATAAGTGTTTCTTTTATTTCTTTGGGAATCCTTGGACACTTATCAACATCTCCCTTCACTCCCATTTGGTCCCTCTTTGCTCGGGTAATACCGCCTGTAATCGTTTTTCTACAAAAATCACAAGTAACAGACTTTTTATTATTTGTCTTTCAAACTATTCCATTGCCAATCTATATCCAAATTATTTCCTGAAGGCTTCACTAATGCACAGGATGAAATCGAAACAGAACCGGTTCTTTGTGACTGAATGGGAGGAGTAGCCATTACTTCTTTTTTAAGCTTTCAAAATTTTGTACAGAAAATAATAGAAGAATCAAAACAGAGAAGAGTAAAAAACCAGAGAAAAATATAGGAAAAACAAATGTTCAATACCGGAAAGTTCGCCGAAAGTCTGCTGAAGATGACCGGAAAGTTGTGCTGACCTTGAAGAAGATGATAAGAGATGAAGAAAATGACTCAAAATAATTTGGGTCACTTTAGAAGCTCGTCGGAGACGAAGAAGATGACCGGAAATCAAAATGGAAGCCTCGCTGGAAAAACAGAGCACAGAAAACGGAGGATGACCGGAAAACAAAGAACAGAAGAGAGGAGAGCTGACGGAGGCTAGGGTTGAAGAAGATGATTCAGAAATATAAGGGGGGTCGAAATTCCAAAATTGCCCCCCCTTAAAAGGCCCCAACCGTAAAAGATGAGGGGCAAAAACGGAAACATGGGAGGATGAGATAGCGGCCGCTCCATCCGCTATTTTCGGAGTTTTCTGCCGCTATTTGCGGCGTGATGGCCGCTACTCTGAAAAGCGACGCGACAGGCTCTCCGTCGCGGGAAAGGGCCGCTCCGCCGCTATTGATAACTATGATTTACTCGTATTTGCTTAAGATCTATGATTTTTTCTAAAGCCTTCCATAACATCATACTATTTATATGTTTCTACTTTCTATTTTTTTTTCTGTACTTTTGCAGATATGGAATCAAATCGAGGCTATGGAGAATTGCCAAGTGGTGGTGCACAAAGGTCAGCTTTGTAATATTTCTTTCATCCAAACCAGTAATTAAAAAATATTTCTTGCCATTTATAGCTTTTCATGTCCAGCATAGACAAGGAATGTTGTCAGTGGAAATGTACTTGAGTATGCAAATGTGGACATGAAACTTGGACTTTTGAGGACTATGCTGCTGAGGAGCTTAAACTTTTAAACAATCTGTGAACATTTTAATTTCACATCTGAAAGGCTTCAATTGAAGCCTAATTGCAACAGCCAACAAGGCCAAGATGAGATGTCATTTTTGAGATTATGGATGTGTACTACTTGCTGCCATTAACGCTGCATGCGCTTTGGCACATGCACAATTATATTTTTGTACTGTTAATAAAAGAATTTTTAAACATGCCATATATGAATACATTGTATTCAGTTTACCTAATCCATGTGCAATATTTCTTGAGAGCGTTGTCGTTGTTGATGGGAGTATCAGCTGTCAGCTCAATGTGTAATTCTTTTTTACTGGTTGACTTTTGGTTATGGTTCAGTATAACAACCTTAATTTTGAATTGCCTTCACTTGAATTGCAGTATTATAGTTTTAATTATAAGAGTGAATATTAGACTTTGGTTTTAATTAACCTTCGTGTTTTCATCCATTAATGTTGCATGAACTGTTTCCTTGGCTGAAGAAACCCAATTATTTTTCCATGTTCTTAAACTTGTGACCTTCCTGATCCTGAATTTCTGTAGCAACCAGTACATTATTCATGTCTTGCTCTTTTTTCCCCCCCTCCTAACATGATTTGTCATTTTCAGTCGATTAAACAATTGTATCCTGTGCTCTTTACTGCATATCTAATTGTGATATTTCTGTACCCCTAGTGTATCTTCAATCAAGAAAAAGAGAAGTAACATATCTACTTGTGATTATGTTATTACCTGTTTAATGATCTTTCTAGGAAAGCATGTTAGGATTAAGATATTTATATGTTGTTCCAGGGAGGGGCTGATGTCCTATAAGCAATTCATTCAGGAGCTTGAGGATGATATACTACCAGCTGAAGCAGAGCGTAGGTAAGCTCTTGAAAATGTCTATTTGCATCTTGACAAATTTGCGTAAGAATGCAAATTTGCATCTTGACAAGTGACTACTTGCAATTTATTTTTTAGGTATCAAGAGTACAAATCAGAGTATATTTCTACCCAAAAACGAGCTTATTTTAATGCTCATAAGGATGAGGAGTGGTATTTTTTTTTCTCTTCGAATAATTGTAGTTCAATCATGAAATGTTTCCCCTGTACTGTTATCATTACCATATTGTTTTCAGTTTAAATGATCTGATTTTTTTTTTTTTGTATTGTTTTACTTTTTGATGTAGGTTGAAAGATAAATATCATCCGACAAATTTGCTAACAGTTATTGAAAGGTGCGTTTATATCAATCTTACAGTGTTAATTAAGCACTATATATGGAATTATGGATCATTATTTTTTGTCAGGTGATTACTAGATATGCAGGTGGATTAATTTTTGTATTAAGACGCCTAATTTGTAATGAGTTCTGTTTGGTTCATCATCTTTTAGGAGGAATGAAAATGCTCGACAGCAAGCAAGGGATTTTCTGCTTGATTTGCAGAGTGGAACTTTGGATCTGTATGTTCTTGTCCTTTGTTTTACTTGCTCTTGTGTTTATGTTTCTTTGTCTGCCCTTCATCCTCATGCTTCTCACTATTCTTCCTATGATCCGTATTTTCTATTTCAATAAATACAGAAATCCTGGTTTAAATGCCTCTACATCCAGCAAATCAGGGCAAGCTAGTGAGCCAAATTCAGAGGAGGAAGCAGACACTGGAGGTAAACGAAGAAGACATGGTCGGGGATCTAATAAAGAAAATGATTCTTCAGCTGCTCCAAAGGCTCACCCTATCAGTTCTGAACCTAGACGAATACAAGCTGATGTTCAACAGGCTCGGGCCCTTGTTCACAAGCTTGACAGTGAGAAGGGGATTGAAGATAATATTTTATGCAGCAGTGATCACAATAAAAATGATGATAAGGCTCATAGTGGATCTGTGGGTCCCATAATAATTATACGAGGCTTAACATCTGTTAAGGGTTTAGAGGGTGTTGAGCTTCTGGACACACTTATTACATATCTTTGGCGAATTCATGGTGTAGATTATTATGGCATGATTGAGACTAATGAAGCCAAGGGTTTGAGGCATGTGAGGCCAGAAGCAACAGGGAATGAAGAACCAGGTAAGTCAGGGTCTGAATGGGAGAAGAAACTTGACTTGTTTTGGCAGGGAAGGCTGAATGGTCAGGATCCCTTGGAAGTAATGACTGCTAAGGAGAAGATAGATGCTGCAGCAGTTGAAGTGTTGGATCCATATGTTCGAAAAATTAGGGATGAAAAATATGGATGGAAGTATGGCTGTGGAGCTAAAGGCTGCACTAAGCTATTTCATGCTGCTGAATTTGTGCACAAACATCTGAAGCTTAAACACCCAGAGCTTGTTCTGGAACAAACTTCAAAAGTACGCGAGGACCTCTATTTTCAAAATTACATGAAGTAAGTAATAGCAGTGGCTTCTTCTGTTTTGGGGTTATTATTGCAGGTTTTGGTGGAAATATCACTTATAATGATCTTACTGTTGTAGTGATCCGGATGCTCCTGGTGGGACACCTGTCATGCAGCAACCTCAGGTGGACTGCTGATTTTGTTTGACATACAAGTATATATTCCTAGAAAAATGACATTACAAAAAAAGATGCATGATTTGGAAACAGTATTTTATGGTTATGTTTGTGACTTGTGAGAACATTTTGGTCTAAGGTTTGGTAGTTGTGTGTATCCCTAATTTGACAACATTGTGGAAGGATTCTGCAAAGCTTGTCAAATAGTGAAGTTCTCAAAATTTCCTCTAAATGTATTCTGCACGCTTTCGAGTGTAAATGATGAGATGCATCAGCATTTACAAATTTCTGACTTAAGCATGGCATTGTATTTCTGACTGATATCATGGTTGAGTTTCATATTCTTATGGTCCATTTTTTTCTCCCAATTTGTAGAAGGACAGGCCTTTAAAGCGAAGATTAGGTCTTGAGGGCAGATTGAGAGATGATCGTGGTAATCGGCGAGATCATGATCGGAGTGACAGGGTAAATGATGGAGATAGGCCTGATATTTCCCCAGCCCATGAAAGGCAGTCTAAAGACCATGACGAAACAATGTATGATTCATATGCAGGGCCTGGTGTACCCCCATTTGCATCAGATATGCCCCCTCCTCCGCCAGTGTTGATGCCTGTGCCTGGTGCTGGGTTGGTTTCGCTATTCTTGTTATCCTTTCCACTTCTGATGCACCTCTTTTGATGTTTTAAGCCTTTGTTAATGATTATATGATTTATAACTCTACAGGCCTTTGGGACCCTTTGTTCCTGCTCCGCCAGAAGTTGCAATGCAGATGTTAAGAGAGCAAGGAGGGCCATCTTCATATGATGCCTCTGGAAGAAAGATGCGGTCTGGCCCTCATATGGGTGGAACAGCACCAATAATTGCAGTTCCTCCAGCTTTTAGACCAGATCCTCGGCGAATGCGAAGGTAAATGTTCTGCATGACCCTTGCACGGATATTTTTGCGTGGTATCTCCTATCAGTCTTTTCTCACTCATGTCTGTGGTTCTTCTGGAAATCCACTCAAATAGCTTATATTTGTGCTCTTTTTGGTACATTTGGTGATTTTTTAATCTTCCTTGCACTTGGCCTAAAAATGCTTAGTTTTACTTAAGTGCTTGCCTTATTTGTCTATAATCTGACATATTTAAACAGTGGCATAGTGCCTTGAATTATTGTTTGTGAAATGGAAAGTCGTTTCAGAGTTTAAGTGTGTTTGTTACCTTAGTTATGGCCAGAAATTAGGAGAATGGCTAGCGAAGTTTAGAAGCATATCCTAGTAAACAAGCATGTGGCTGCCATAGATGAAAGCAGATATCAATTTTTAATATACTTAATTATTTTGCATATGGTACAGTTATCAAGATCTGGATGCCCCCGAAGACGAGGTCACTGTGATAGACTATCGGAGTTTGTAAGTGTCATTGTGGTGGCTGAACCTGTCGTCTCTATCTTCTGTGAATTTGTCGGAGAATCTTATTTTCGGATATTTGTCATGGGAATCGACTTCTAATGCACTAGGGTTTAGATTTGTATATTTTGTTACTAAATTATCCTTTTGCATAACTAGGTCAGTACTCCGTAAATTTGTACGGAGTGTACCATTGAATTTTGAGAGTGCTAACATACGTCACTTCCATATTTTGAATTTAAATTTAGAACTTGTGCATCCAGATTTATATTTTCTATGCCAAGAAAAGAATATTTGTACTTTCTACAAAATTAAATTCATAACCAAAACAGTAACTTAAAACTATAGTTTTATACACGAGATTTACTGCTTGTTCATATTTGGTACGCGGAATGGTGAATTTATTTCATGAAATACACATTCATTAGCACAAAAAATACCCATTTTGAGGCTTCATTCACTTTTATAAGTTGGGTAATTTACATTGATATTGTCTGAACTTCAGTCTAATTAAACTTGGTATCCTATTCATTTTTAGACCGTACAGATTTCTCTATTTTATTTAACTGTCTATCCATCATAAAATAATTAAAAAGTGATGGAAATTAATTGACAGTGGGACAGAGAAATTGTTTGATGATGGGAGCAAGTGAAAAAGTAACAATAGTGATCATAGTGGTAATAATGGTATGATTGTGATAGTGATAATAAAAATGGTGACACTGATAACAGTGGTAGTAGCTGTGACAAGGATCAATAATGGCATTTGCTACAGTGGTATTTATAAGATTGTTACTATGATAATTATTGAGGTAGTGATAGAAATAATAGCAATAGTGGCCAGTGATGGTCGTGAACATGACATTGATGATCATAATGGTGGTTGCATTTTCCAAGAATTATGAAGGAGTTGAATAATTTGTTTTTGCAACAAAATTATTGTTATTTTAAAAATTGAGTTAAAAGTGTTTTTTGAGTTTCAAAGCAAGTGTTCTCTATGTTAACTGAACATATTTTATTTGTAAAATTTCACATTTGAAAACTAAAATCTAAATATGTAATTACCCTGAACAAACCCTATGAAAATAGAGGCATGAAACAAAAGCATAATAATAGTCAATGGGAAGCCTCATAATTCCTTATTTTATGGAAAACAGTATGGTACATCCATTAATGACAATAACAAATAATAAAAACTACTTCATTATATGATTTTGTTTACTTCTTAACTCTTAAAGTTGAGATTAAACATACAAAATAGTAATTTTTTTTTAATTGAAAAATAGTTGTTACATTAGAGATACAAGTCTAATAATTATTTTTTTTAAACTCAACCCCAAAAGTTGAAATTAACAAGACCAAACATAGGGAGAGGTTCTAATTTGTCCTGCTAAAGTTTGGGTCACGGGCATTTTAATTCTTAAACTTTTAAAAGTAGTAATTTGATTCATTTTCTGTTTGATTGTTTTATATTTGATTGTTTTATCATAATTAACGAAAACCAGTTACGCTGGTATTACATGACCAATATAGTGCTATATTCACACGAGTAAATTGTATGACAAACATGTTAGTCTCCTTTGTCTTACCCTTAGGTGAGTGGTAGCTTTCTTGGTGGACTATAATGGAGTTTGAGCCTTGGGGACAAAGATTTGGTTTCTACTTGTCAGTCCTTGAGGTTTGGATAGGTGGTTTCATGGATAAAAAGGGGTTTCAATGGTGAGTGGCGTAAGAACAGTGTTTATTGGATTTGAAGGTAGTGCCTACGACATTTGAGGTGATGAGGTTAGCCATGGGGTAGTTAAATGCTTTTGTTATGTAGTTCGGGAAATTATGCGGGTAAATTGTTTGATGGGAGGATAATTGAGCTGCTCCGAACGTGGGAGTTTTGTTTTTTAATTTTGATCCATTGCAAAGTACTTAAAAGGAAATATTTTAATAAAATTTATAGGTAAACTTTGAAATGTTGAGATCTTTGTATTTATTATACAACATGGGAGGAGTTCCATGTATACAAAATATATTTCCATGATGGAAATGGTGTATAATCTATAAGCTAGAGAAGGTGAGGAGAAGGAAAGCAGAAAAGGCCAAAAAAAAAGACCTACTCAATTCTAGTATAAACAATTATTCAGAAATTCCTAGCTACTTGCACAATGAAATATTGAAGGGTCACACTAGGTACATTAAAAAATGGTCATCCTTAAAAGAATAACATGTCCTTCACAATATGGATGAGTCTCCATGGTATTGCACTATAACATTCCCATCACTGTCTATCCGTCCAAAAGCTGTAGTAACTGTGACAAGAAAATCAGGTTAAAAAAGGTAAGTGATACCTATCTATTGAAATTCATGGGCATCTGTCTAACACTGAACAAAGAGATGTAATGCTCTTCACACTAGTCATCTTCTATCCTTGATGATTTAAGTTGAATTGCAGGACAAGAAAAAAGAAAATGTTGAGCATAGAAACTATGATTTTATCCATCTCTTTGAAGAAAGATAGCAAAGAGCTGGACATATAATGCTTACAACTATTAAAGCTGCTCCCTGATGAAGGCCATAGATCTCAGCATGGAACCAAGCGTATCTCTAGAAACTTGGAATTTCAGCTCTGTTTGCCCAGTAGTTGCCTTTGTATCCTGAAGCTGAAAGAAGTAGAAATGTCTACGTTAAAATACATTGGACACAATCTTATAGAACACGAAACACTAAATTTCCTAAGACTGCAGAATATTGCATAACCAAACATAGGCGTACAAAGAAATATGGAATTGAAATAATATTGTCGATATCAAGTCTAAGAATAATATCAAATACTATTGGACCATCTAAATTCATTAACATTTTGAATTTTATAATCAAAACCTAATTTTTCATAATCTCATGCAATTCAAGGGGTGGTAGTTAGGTAAAGTTCTTCCCAGAGTGGAAAATCCAGGATTCAAACATAGTAACAGTTTTATTTAGCATTTCAAGATTTCATTTATGGAAGTATTAACTGTTGGATGTTCTCAATTCAGATAGATGTCCAATACAATTGATAATAATCATGTACTCATTAGATTGTCTGAATTAAATAACTTTCATTCTCTTATTATCAAGAAACTGTCAATATCATCAGTGCTCATGCCTTGCAATTAAGTTCAGAAGCTCTTTTAAAAGAGAAGTTCTGGAGAAATTTGGAGGGGTTGTTCAAGGCATTCCACAAGATGAAAATATTTTCTTTGGTGAGGATCTAATCAGACATCATGTTGTTAGGCAATACAATTTCAGAAAGCTCATGTTGATTTTAGTTTTGGAGAGCTAAATGGGAAAGGACAACTTATTCTTGATTGCTTTTTAGCTTATGATTTCAAGATTATGAACATTTGCTTTTAGAAGTGAAAGGAACATTGCAAATTGATTCCACTTTGGTAAGGAGCTCGGATAAGAGTTTGTAAAAATTGCAAATTGATTCCACCTATGGTTCTAAGAAAATCTTATCTCATGGTAAAAATTGCACATTGAGTCTTGGTCTTTGATATTCGTTTTAAAAGTCACAAACAAAGAACATGAAAAGCTATGGATCCAAAAATTAAATGGTCACAACTCAAAGGTCATAAACAACTGGACTTTATTATTATAGGAAGGAACAAGATGTTGATAATGCACTAGAAGTCAAAATTGAAGATGATCCACAGGTCATCAAATTTAGGTGCTTTGGGATCAATTCTACAAAATGATGGAGAATTAACAAAGATATTTAAAGGGAATACAAAGTACCAATCAGAAGATTTATCAAATTGTAACATGACTAGTTATCATATATGTTAGTAAATATTGGACTTTAAAGAGACTACAAGAAAATAGAGTGAATGGGAAAAATGAGAATGCTAAGTTAATTGTGTGGCTATAAGTTAAAGACAAGATAAGAAACAATTGTATATAAGGAGAGATTGAGATAACACTTATTATGGAAAAGATGATAATAGATCGATTATGCTGATTTGTACATGTGCAAAGAAGGTCATTGTAGACACCAATAAGGAGGGTTGATTATATGGTCTTTATCCTAATGAAAAAGATTAAAGGAAGATAAAAAAGAACTTTAGAGAAAATCATCGAAGAAATCTCATTATAAATAATATCTGTGAAATTTAGTTTTTGATTGAGTTTAGTGATGTCATATAATCCATGTAGCCGACTTTACTTAGTAAGATAAAAAAAATTTGTTGTTGTAATTATGTTACCAAGAAACTAGTTGTTCAAAAGCTCCGATCTCGCACCCATGTCCCCTTTGGAAAATGAAAATTTATTAGTAATCAACTATATACAATGTCATCTAAGCTTCTAATTTCAACATGGGACTCACTACAGTACTATCTAGAATTTCTACAATAATCGAGCCCTAAATATGCTAGAGAATCAACTCCAGCTCCATATAATAACCACACTTCAGGGTTGTATGAGTAAAATTATACAAAACTTCCAAAGCATTGAACACAATGATTAACACTCCATGCTTAGGAGCATTCATTTTGAGGGACTATGCATGGACTAACTCTCAGTGTGCTACAAGGAAGGCTTATGATTGGTTTTGCATCTAACACTTCCCCTCACACAAAAATCCATTGGATTTGTGTGTCCAATATATAGACCAAGTTTACCATGTCCAAGAATTCAACTTCATTAAGAAAAACATGGATGAGACAAGGATTGAACTCTTAATCAATCAGTCATAGAATCTCTTTTATACCACTTGTTGGGGATAGGAGGATCCCAAATGTCAAAAGGATTTGTTCCAATGCCCGTGGGTCCTTTCACTTTATATAGTCTTCACTTTTCCCATTCCTTGAAACAAGAAATTTTATTTACGCTCCACATTCCACTAACATTTTAATTCACAATCCGAACTATCTCATTCTCAAGCACAAATCTTTCACAAGTATTCAATGGATGAAGGCCTTTTTCAAGCACCTAACCGACTTTTCAGGTATCTTCCAACGTGTTACCACTATGCACCAAGCCAAGCCACATCTTTCACAATGTCACTGCTCATCACTAGACAATAGCACCTGCTCATACCACCATTTTAACAATATTTGTCCCAGCAAAACCAATGTCTCTGATATTGTATCAATAATCAAGCCCCGTAAAAGCTTAAACCATTAGGTGAGGGCTCAGGATTAGTTTTATGTCTAGCAACACACATTAGCTAGTTGATATAACTCTCATACTCCAGTGTATTGTACTGACTCTACTAATACACCTTTGCTAAATCTGCCATATCAAATGTACAGAGCTGTACCCCTAGTAAATCAATCACATTATTTCAGTATAGCAACTTTGTAAAATCATAGATTAACCTCTCTCTATTTATATATCACAGCATCTATAACCAAAGGATAGTTCTTGTTGCCTCCATTCTTCTAATTTAGCTATATTTTCAACACAAAGTATGTGTGACTGTCAATCTAAGTTTTGCCCATTTTAAAGCTCAAAAGGCTTCTGCATGAGGGAGCATTTAGAGAAATAAAGAATTCAGTGGCTTACCTTAAAATTCAAGTTCGGGGTAAATTATAACTGAAAGGATAAATGGTCTAGCAATAAATACTGAGAGCCTCTTCTGTATTCTATTAATGTAGGTCATTAATAAAAAAGGAAGGAAAAGAAAATATTTTTTTCTGGGGAAATGCTCAAACTTTATAATAGGCTGTAAACCTCCTGCTCTGATTTCTGAAGTTTCATTTATGTGAAATGAGAGCATTTGAAGGAGATAATTATTTCAACCACAACCACAAAAAGTATAGTGCATTGTGAAATGTTTAGGAGCTAGGAAGAGTAGAAGATCATGATTCTAGTTTACGTACCCTCAGATTGATGAGGGCAACTCTATTGATAGGTGCATTTAGCTGTTGACTGATGTAAGCCATAGACCTCAACATAGGCTCCAAAGTGACCCTTGTCACCCTGAATTGCACTTCTGTCTCTCCTGACGGTCCCTTGCCATAATCTTGCAACTGAAAGAGGGAGAATAATGATTAACAAGTAGAAAAGAATGTCTTCAGCAACAGGTAGGTGTTTACTACACACAGAAAGCAATATAGTAAGTGAAGTAACCTAGATTGTTTATATTTTCAGCAGAAAGCATGATTGTTAAATGGATATCTGGATAGAGACAGATCTCTTCCAACCACAGAGCACATTGAAGCCACATTAAATTTAATAAGAGTATCAGACAAAAGATATTGAGAGATCTGTTTCTCAATAAATAAAAGATATGAAGAGCACAACTCAGATGAGAACGGAGGTTACATCTTGCAGGCATACAAAGCACTTATATGCATACCTTCATGTTAATGACTGCAACTTTACTGGATGAGCTTGAATTCTTATTTTCTATAATCCAAGTCATAGACTTGAAACAATTAAGGACAACCTGCACCAATATGAGAGTCAATTAAAGCCATGACCAGCATATCTTAACAGTAATAACCTAATAATTATAAGGGTGATTCAGATCAATACAGTGTTATCTGGAGGCCCATTATCTCGGTGAATAGAAACAGGAGCCATATTAGGGTGATTCAGATCAGCAACAGGAAGTCCAACGTCTTTAAGATTGAAGTGATGTGACAGCGAATCTTGCCAAGGCCATAATGATGGGATAACTTCAGAAATTGATGAAGGGCTCTTCTTGCTATTGTCTTCCTGACAACTTCCATTACCCTGAGTGCTCAGAGGCATGACTTTTGCAACATTTTTCTTCACAACACCTACCTTTTTAGCACCCTCTCTTAAAGCATTCATAGCAGAGTTATAAGTCTCAACAGCTATTGCCCCTTCTTCAGCAAGCTTAATGGCTTCTCGACATAAACTATTAAAACGTACAGTCAGATTTTCGATGCCAAGTAAATATGTTGTTTTTTCATCTGTTCCAATTCTAGATTTTGCATTTCTTGTCCATCTCTTCAAAATGTAGTGAGATGGAAGGGTTAGAACATTTGTAACTGTGAAGACAGTCAATATATGTCGACAAAGAATGCCTGAGTATTCAAACATCTGACAGCTGCAATTCGCTTTCATTTCAGAGATATTAATTGAGACCATGTATGCCTTGTGATCATGTTCATATTTTGCAACCCTGTATTTACTGACCAGACCACCATTCTCAACATTATTTGCAGTATAAGCAAAAGTTTCCACCAGTTCCTCCTGAAACTTAGCAAAAATCTTCTTGGTGTATGTAATTGCTGCCTGTTGTTCCATTGGTGATGGAGTCTTCAGTACAGGTGTGTTGCAAAAGGTCTCATAATCTGATTCTATTTCTTTTTCCAATGAATGTTCAAGAGATCTTTCATACTGCTTAAAGAATGAAGGTATGGTTGTCTGTTGATTTACATAGCCATCAAAAAAGGAGCTAATTCCATGGTTTGAAGTAATTGCAGCAAAGAAAGTACCACGAAAGTAAACAGGGGCCCATTGTTTGCGAGCATTATACACTGCTTGTAGCCAATCATTTTTCTGGAGATCATATTTATCCAGAAGAGATTTCCATGCTGATTCAAAATCCGCATTACTCTCAGAAAAATTGATGCAGCTATATAGTTCCCCATAGAATGAAGGATGAGCAAGGTAAATATGAGCCAATCTTTCTTGACCTTCTCTCAAAATGTGCCACTTACAAATACAGTGGCGAGTTTCTGGAAACACCTGGGCAACAGCTGCTTGTATGGCTCTATCTTGGTCTGTGGTTATGGAGACAGGGGGTCGATCATTCATAGCAGATAGCCATGTTCTGAACAGCCAAGTAAAGGAAGACTCGGATTCATCTAGAAGTAATGCACAACCAAACAAAACCATCTGACCATGATGATTGACTCCTGTAAATGGAGCAAATGGGACTTGGTATTGATTTGGTCTATACATTGTGTCAAAAATTACAGCATCACCAAAGTAATTATAAGCTGTTCTTGATCTTGCATCAGCCCAGAATACATTGGTCATGCGATTTTCATCATCAAGCTGTATTGCATAATAGAAGCCAGGGTTTTCTCCCTGCATCTTCTTAAAATAATCTAGAAGATTTTGAGCATCTCTTCCAAGGGTTCTCTTTTGAGAAGATCTTGCATAGGTAAAAGACCCAATGTTTCTCATTGGATGACTTTTTTCTGCTGGTGAGGAACTGCTAACTAAACTAACCGGTTCTAAATGATTTCCGTTCATGGAAACATAGGAATCATGACTGGCATCAAATGTCTCTGTAACATTCCTCGTAGCACCGACAAAATGTCTACGGGGTCGAAGGTACTGCACCTTTCTAGATGAAGCCAGGGAATGGTTATGATCCTCAACAAATTTTGTCACTACCCAGTTTGCATCTTTTCTCTCCACCCTAAGCTTTGCATTGCAACTAACTACATTCTTCCTTTTAAATACCTCCCTGGCACAAGCAAAGTCCCACGTTATAATTGGACCATCAGGCTTAGTTCGATTGAATTGACCAACATGTGTGCGAAATCCTACATGTCTTGCATATGCATCATAAAATGATTTTGCAGCATCTTCAGATTCAAACAGCATACCCACTTGCGGTTTCCTACATGCTTCACCATCCTGATTATTTACTTCTCTCTCAGCCAAGTCTACAATCATATTTTGTTCCTGGCCTTTTTCATTAGAAGCAGGTCTATCACTATTTTCCCCCTCATCTACTGCCTCAACATCCATGATAGTGTAGCTAATGATAAGAGCACTTCAAGGGTTTCCCTTGGAAAGACTAGAAAAAGTGATTCATAGCTAATCCTTTTGAAGCTATGATGGAAGTTGCCTGCATTATCACTACCTACAGAATAAATTGAATAAGAACATCATGTCTGTAATAAATTGTAGAAAACATATGATTATGCATATAGGCAATGATTTTCAACTTGTAGAACCTAGAAGAAAGGACGAAGGAATTGCCAAAATCATCAACTACAAGAGATATTGGACCTGATCACATAAAAATGCTAGTTTATACCAACCCAGAAAGGGTAGTTGTGGAATCTTGGGTAAGGCAATTAAAGGCATTTATTAGTTTTGGTCTAAAACCCACAAAAACAAAATTTTGATAAATATTAGAGAAAATTAGTATTTATATGTTCAGAAAACCCTTAATTGAAACTAGTTAAACATTTCTAGTGGAAAAATCAAACTGAATTTAGTATAGAACAAAATAATTTTATTTTTTAATTGAAAAAAAAATATTTATACTCAAAATAGTTCACACGTTAATGTTAGAAGCTTCTAGTTCTAAAATGTGACTTTGTTCTGTATAAAGAACAACAAGGACCAAAGTTGGAATGTTGGATATTAAGGAATATAATAGTATAAAAGTCTCAAGATTGTTAAAGAATTACTGAACCTTAAATTAATAAACTGCAAGGATTCCTTAGCACAACAATAATTGCATTCAAACATGAGTAGCATATTGCTACAATGTTGAAGTTAGACTTAAAAATAATCTAGACCACCATTGCCTTGTTGAAAGAAATTATTAATCACATAAAAAATCTACAATTTGCAAAGTAAATACTTCCACCTATGGTAAGAGTCAGTTTTTCAGAACACCTCCCATTGTTGCTTCAAATACTACACAGAAACTATTCAATCTATTAACGTTTTTTCTTCATATCCAATAACAATTTAATCACATAAAAATTTACAACTTGCATAGTAAATACTTCCACCTATGGTTAGAATCAGTTTTCAGACGCCTGCCCATTGTTGCTTAAAAAAAATACAGAAACCATTCAATTCAAGAACCTTTATTCCCCATCTTCAATAAAAGTACACGTTGAGAATATCACATTGTCATGTTTACAGCATCTCCAATACATACAATAATTTTCACTACAATTGCTAACCATAAAAAAACAAAATAAAAATCATGTTTGCAGTTTTACAATTCTCAAAGAGCATTCTCATAATTTTTGCATCCTTTGTCGTGAATGAACAAGAAAAATAAGAACAGGAAAGCAAAATTCACCCACCAGAGGGCTAAAAGAAGAGTTGGATTGAACCAGAAACTATGAATTGAATCAAAACCCAGCGTTTTGGACCACAAACCCTTAGTGACAGCGATTCAGGATTTTGAGTAAAGAGGAAGAAGAGTTTGAATTTCACCGTAGAAGAGTGGGAATACCAAAAACCCAGAATCAAAGTAATTCGACTTTTCGTTAAACTTCACAGTTCACACTCATGCTTTTCTTTTTCTTATTTTAAATATTCATTTATTTGAAAATTTTCATCCACATCATGTGCAAATTATTTTTGGATGTTTTTATTTCGATTTTAACTATGTCCTAGTATATTAGAACCACTAAGTGATAAAAATCCGCTATATTTTTAAAAATATAAAAATTAAATTAAAAATAGTAAATAGAATAGATTAATAATTATTACCAAGATAATCAATATTTTAATTTAAAACATTATAAATATTTTATTATATTTATGTTGATAGGAGAAATTTAAGTAATTTTTTATTTGAATAAAAATTAAAAAATAAATTAATATTAATTTAATCTATAAACATTAAAATTTGATATGTAATAAAATTCATAAACATTATATTATATTAAATGTTAATTGAAAAATATTAATTAATAAAATTATATAAATTGTTGAAATTTGAACGATAAGTTATTTATTTAATAAAATGCATAAAATATAATAAAAATTAATTTTTATTTAATTATTTGTATATTTTTGTAATGTTTAAATTATAATATGTTATATATATTTTTTATACTTGTTGGACAAAATTTTAGAATAAAAAACAAGAAAGACTATCAAAATAACATATAAATTAAAGTATACATTGAAACTAAAAATATAATTAAATAAAAAAGTTTGCATTAATTTTTTTTTTGGTATTAAAGCTAGCATTAATTTTATTCAATGAATCTCAGGAGAGTTATAATTTAAGAAATTTATTGGGTTTTATAAGAAGAGAAAAAAAAAATTAATTCATCAAATTTAATATAAAGGTGTGAACTAAGCCAATAAGTTTTCCATACATTACATAAAGTATTTTTAAATTTAAATTTTTATTAAAAAGTAAATTTAAGAGAAAAATAAATATTTTTAATATTAATCATTAATATTATATTTACTACATAAAAATAAACCAATAAAATTAGTTAAAATTGCACATGTTTAATTTTTAAAGTAAAATTTTAAGTTCAAATCTTGTGCATAAAAAAAAGTTAGCTACACCATGAGGTGAAAGTTTTTGGATTGAATAGGAAAGGATTACTCTTGCTTTGGAATATATTTGTAATTTAAAAAAACTAAAAACTAAAACTTTTAAAATAAAGAAAAACATTATTTTAATAAATTGTTTAAATACAATACACTATGATAGTTCAAAAGTAAAAAAAAAATTATTAATATTGTAGTAATCTTAAAATTTAATTCATTTAAAAAAGTCACAGATTTAATATAATGTGTCAAAATTTAAACTTTAATTGAAATTAAAGTTAAAATTAAGTACTGATATTTGAAAGAAAATAAATTTATAAATAATCAAAGTGGGAAGAATCACATGACTTATAATATGTTTGAATTAGTTAAAAAATAGATATTTTTAATAATTAATTATATTTATAATCAATTCTATAAAATAAGTTTTATGTTTAAACGCAATATATGAGAAATAATTTTAAAATAAATTATTGTGTTTGGATTGTATAAAATAATTACTTTTTAAGGTAAAATTAAAAAAATATATAACAATTAATTTTATATTAAAAATTATTAATTAATAAAATAAAATAGAAAAATAAAAATCAACTAAAAAATAAACTGACGACTTTAAATCTTTCTTATGTAAACAAAGAATTTTTTTTAAAAAATTATAAACTAATTTTGTATTTTCCTAAATAAACAACTCAATTCAAATACATATTTTATAAATAAAAAAAATTCCAAAAACAATAAAATTCAAATTTATAATATTAGAGTAATTTTATTTTTATAATATTATATAGTTTTATATAATATATTATTATAATATATCAAGGCAATCTTTATATTTAAATGACAAAATATGCATCATTAAATCTACATCTTTATACTATTTTATTATTTGAGCACTTTGCATTGGTTTAAAAAAAAGACGGAAAAAGTGATTGACTTAGTTATTCAAGAAGTAAAGATTAATCATGCTTCTAAACAAATACTAAAAAGGTGTAACATTATCCCTTTATACTTATTTTCATTGTTTTAGATCTTTTAGTGTTAGGTCTTTTGTTTATTCCAAAAACAAAGACAATAACATCATAAAACAATGTCACTCAAGTCCTTACACCATTTTTGTTGATGGCTGACCAACACAACTACACAAGCAGCTTTGGTCAAAATCAAACACTACTGAAACTGAAGTTAACTGCATCTAATAAATCATAAGATTTCAATGATTGTTAATCATTTTCTTCTAATTTTGTTTGTGAAGAAAAATTATCTATATATAGAAACTCTCAAATTCTCTACATCTTTCTTTTTGTCTTACTTTTTTCTTCTTCTTTTTTCTTCGCAACTTATAAAGTCTTTTAGACATTTTTATATTATTAGCTTTAATAGTCATTTTAAAGTTCAAATTCTTTTCCTTTGAATTATTATTCATTTTTCAATTGTTCTACCTCCTTTTATTTTAATAACTCCAAGACTTCCAATCATTTCTCAACAATATATTGAAAGCTTAAGTTGAATGATAAGTTTATATTTTACAATGTTTTTATAACTTAATTTTATACACTTAATTTTTATTTGATGGAGATTTTGTATTAATTTTTTTATTGAGCAGTTTAAGGTAAAAGAAATTATTAGTGAAGTATGGAACATTTTTTTGACTCAATTATATAAAATTTGATGAAAAGTTAGGTTACACGTAAAAAAAACAGCATGACCTTATTTCGCAAACAACACTGAAAATGCTTCAAAGATAAATATAGTCATGTTTGATGGTATGCACAGTCATACTACTTGTGTGATGATTTAAATTAAAGACTTTTTAGGATTTGAGAACCTTAATTAAAGAATAATGAGGGTACGCATGTAATAATTTTTTTTAATTGACTTTTGACAAGTGACTAAGTCTTTGGAATTTCTCTAGTTTATTTTTCTATTTGGAATTAATTTAGATTTTTTTTACAATTGCTTTTATTATTTATTTCATTATAAGTAGTTAAATTCATAGTTAGAGTTATGGTGAATCTTTTGCATACTTTATATTATTTTTATGTTTAATGATAATTATGGTTTCCTTTTTAAATTGATTTTGCTTTAATTATTTATATTTATATGTTTGTGTTTAGAATTGAAAACTCTTAATATCTTATAATTAATTGTATTGTAAGCAACCGTACTACATATAGTTAATAAATCTATAAGATAAAACAAAATAAAGAATAAAATAGATTAAACTTAATTTTTTTTAATTGTTATTAAATTATTAAACTCATAAATTTTTTATACTTTTTATTTTTCTATGCCTTGTATGACCATTAAGAATAATTGTTTAGAAAAAAAATATTAAGGAATAAAACAAAATTCAAAGTTTTATCTTAATAATATATGTTCATCTTTATTATATGTATTGCTGAGATAAAATTCTAATAATAATTGAAAACTAACACAAATGATATTATAATTAAGTTTTGTTCTAGGGAATAAATAAAAGACTAAGAAATATTTTTGCCAATACCAATCATAGCACAGTTATACAAAGCAAATAGAGTTGGATTTATACATCATATAAATGAAAGAAACACATTTTCACCTATTAAAAGGTTGAAACAAAGATAGCTTATTCGTAAAAAAACTATTAATCACTATAAAATGGTGGAGGTGGTCTACGATATTGTTTCACTGTTTCAATTACAAGGAAGAAGCGAACTTTTATATTTCAGGTAATAGACAATGCCTGTAACAAAAAGAGCTAGGAATAAAAAATATACTGTACTAATCACTAATGAAAATAGTTTTTAAATTTTGTTTTCTCTATTTTAAAGAGATGATAAATTATAAAAAAAAAAAAGAAACTGTTTTATAAAGTATTTCTACTTTTCTATTTTAGAAACAATTTATGAAAAATAACTCATTTTGATAGACTAAAAAGATATAAAACAATTACTCAATTTTTTTGTTTTAAAAAATCAAATTTATTCTTAAAATAGAAGTCAAACATGCTTAGTTTTAAAAAACTGATACTAACCTAGCAAAAACTAAAATGATCTAAAAAAGAGACTCAAATGATAATAAAAAATTAAAAATTAAAAGCTACAAGAAAATACGTTGATAAACTTGGATAAATTTTACAAAAATATGATTTTCCAAATAAGTTCAAGTGAATAGGGTCAACTCATTAAATTCGACCCAATTGAACTTTTTACTTTCAAATAAAAAAAATAAAATAGTACTAAATCATTTTAACTTCTTTAATTTCATATTCTTACACAAATTTTTTTCCTATTTATACAACATATGTAAAATATAATTATAGTTTTGCATTTAAAAAATAAGACCAGACCAAGAGAAATAAGTAGAATTTATGAATATAATTTATTTTATTATTTTTTATGTTTATCAATTACTTATAAGCAAAATTCAAACATAATAATTTTTTATTAAAATAAAAAAATTAATATATTAATAACATAAAATAACATAATTTTCAATAAAAATGTATTCTTTATTAATTTTTATTATATTTCCAAATATACATATATTACAAAAATCGTTATTTTATAATATAGAATATCTTTTAAAAAGGGGTGATGTGGTTGGTCCATTCCTGCATAACTGGAGACACGGTTACACGAAGCGTCTCCGTGGCTTACGCAGAAGAGAGTTTCCTTTCTCATTCCTCATTCTCTCTGCAAACTCTACTTCAGATTTTGCTTAACGGGTACCTTTCCTTTCTTGCTTCCTTTCGTTCTTAATGTTACAATTATTTGATTCCGTTTGTGTTCATGTGTGCACATCACATGTTTGATTATTTGTGTGGGTTGGATCCGTGCATACATCAATGGGCTATTAGTGTTGTGATTATGATTCATGAGTAACTCAAATGTGTCCAAGGTCATGAGCCAGCTTTGTTCACGTGCATATTTGGTTTCGAGGTTTACCTGCAACCGGCAGCAAAGATTTGTGCGATTTTCTCTGAAAAGTATTTACTAATTTCTCTGAAACAGTAATGGAAGCAGCAAAGGTTCTTTCACACTCCAAAACTGCCCCTTTTGGTTTCTCTATCGTGAGCAACAAAGTGTCTCTGAGACCTTTCAACAAACACTTTCATGCTGATATGATTGCTACCAAGAGCATTAGTTTTCGATTGAATTGTATCAATGGAAACCCTTTTTCCTCGTTTTTGAAACCAGCAAGGAAAAAGGCTGATTTGTTACCTTCTCCTAGATGTTCAATTTCCAGTAATGCCACCACTGAATCTGACAATTCAGTCCTAAATTACTTCAGAAATCTCTCATTTGATTCAATTAAAGTTACCCTTCTGCAGTTGACATCAATTGATATTGTCAAGTGGTCTGGGATATTATGCATCATAACTGCAGCCACAAAATGGACTATGAATATGTTTTTCAATCCCTTCTTTTGGATGTATTTTAGCTGGACTTGGTTATTCTGGCCATGGTTAGTGGCCACAGTGCTTGCAGTCTATGGGTTATATAGTTTTCGGAAACATGTGCTTGGCGAGGCAAACATATTTGAGCAATTGGCAATTGTTACATCAGTTTTTACATGGCTCACTCTTGTTCCACCAGGTCATTTCAATGGCTACCTTGAAGGCTGGCCTTTTGTTTTCTTTTTTGTGTATCATTATTTCTTTTTCTTCAATGTTAGCGTTCGAAGGCGGTTATATGGAGATTATTATGCACGGCCCCATGATCCAAAATGGGACGTGAACTTGCCGATGTGGTCTCGCCTATTGTTCAGCGCAGGAGTCATGGCTGGCCATTGGCTTGCAGCATTTGAAGGGCCAGAGCTTCACCTCATACCAGGTGGGTGGAGTAATCTTGGAATCTGGGCTTTGATTATCACAACTCTGCTAATGCAGTATAAGGCCACATTGTATCTTGCTAACTATTCAGAAAATGTGGTGGAACCAACCGCAGTTGTGCAATTTGGACCTTATCGCTGGGTCCGTCATCCAATTTATTCTTCAACAATGCTTTTGTTTGTAACGTACTGCCTCGCGCTTAGAGCACCTTTGAGTCTGCTATTTGTTGTAGCAGTTTGTTTGTTGTACTATAAGCAGAAGGCAGAGATGGAAGAGGCTTTGATGATTGAGACTTTTGGCCAGATTTACACCGAATATGCAAGCAAAGTTAAGTTCAAATTTATCCCTTTTATCTATTAGTTGGTCTCCGAAAATGTAGTTGTCAGTCATCAAAATCTGGTTGTAATGTCAGGTTTAGGCAAAAGATAGTGTCAATTCTTTGTTTACTCATTACTCTGTTATCTTTAGTGTGTTTAACCTGATATTAAATCCTATGGCATTCTGTGCACTTGTGATTGTCTATTGAATATTTAGGTTTTCATTGATGTTTTGCTTTATATGTAGCTTAGGTGGTTTACTGTGTTTTAGTTCAGCACTAGAAAACACAGACTATATAATTCTCTCCATCATATAGTTGTTTTCTGCTTCGTGTTTATGCTTGAGAGGCCCTCTTGCACGTAGACAAACAATCAACGGATTTTCTTATGTGCCGTCCAAAGGCCCATGTTAAAAAATTAAGAAATAGGAAATTTTTTATTAAAAATTGTAACATTCAAATGTGGAATCTTATTATTTTTAATAAAAAATTATCATATATCGGTCCTTATTTTGTGTCCTTGAGCACATGTATGAAAAAGTGAACAATCAATCATGTTTTCCTATTATATAACCTGTGCTGGCACTCTTTTGCATATACTTTGTGGTTAAATAAGTGGCATGCTAAAAGAAAAAAAGTAGCGTGCTGATATGGCTGGGCTTTTCATACCCGTGGAGTCTTTAATTTGGCATTGTCTATATAAGTTCTGATCTTTTCTTTCTTATTTATGTTGCAAAATTAGAAAGAGTAATTGACAATGTTTTTTTATGGGTGAATGTAATTGACGGTTTTTTCCTTGCCTAAAACTTAGTATCAGCTTTAACTATATTCATTTGTCTGAGTATCATCTTTTAAGCTATCCATAATTAACATGATTTTTCTTTACAGAGATGGTAAATATGGAAATCGTTTAACATTTGATTTTGACATTTCAATTTAATTTTATATCTTTTATGCACATATTTTGTTACATTTTAGCTACTAATTTTACAATTAACTTTCATAACTCTTTCAAGTGAGGGGGAACAGAAAATTTCATTATTGTTTAAGCGAAATAAATTTATTTCGCGTGAATTGGAGCATATCTGCTTCTATTGAGAGTAACTTTCACATTTAAACATATGTTTACATGTTGAGAAAAAGGAATGAATATGTTATTAAGCTTACATCATAACATTTACCTATCATAAGCACCTATCATAAACTTTACGAATTAACATGTATATGAAATCTTTTAATTGCCAATGATGTATACAAAATATAAGCGACATAATGCTATTTTATTTTAAGAGTTTAATTTTAGTACTATGTTATTGTAAATATTTTACATTATTAACTAAGTAAAATGTATACTAAATATGATTTTTATATTAATTATTATAAAAATTAATAATTTTAACCAATATAATAATTCATGATAAAATGACAAATTAATTTCTTATTTTAATTCATAATATATTATTTTGTCGAATTAGTGTAGTATTTCAAAAGGCATTCATAAAATTACTTCTTACGAGAGACATAAATTTGTTGAATATAACTTAAATAAAATTTCAATAAATATAGGCAACATGTCTAAAATATGCAGATACATGCTAACTAACATTAGCAACAATAGTTTAGAGTTTTATTAATCTTAACTTTTAGAGTTAAATTTAAACATTTAACTTTAAGAATTTTTTTTCATTAAAAAAACATGTTTATTACAATAAAATTATAAAGTGTTATAAATATTTTTTGTATAAGATATTTTTATTATTAGTTATTTATTCTTTAATATTGAAGGTTAGCATTTTCATAATTTTTTGTATATTTTCAAATTAATTTTAAATTTTTATTTTTTAACCATTATTTTTTTTTTCCAAAATTTCAATGTTTCTCCCTCTTTCCTTTTTTTTATTTTTATTTTTAGTACTTTTACATTTTCTTGTTTTATCATTTTTTTTTTCAATCAGTTGATGTAATAATATGATATTAAAGGTAATGATCTCATTTTAATTAAGATTTAACTAATACATTTTTTTATTATTTAGAAATTATCTAATGTTGAAAGTATTTGTCTTTTTGTATTAGTGTGGATGTCACATTACCTTTGAACAATTTATATTCTAAATTCTAAATAAGTTTGGTTGAATAGATTTTAAAAAATTATATCGAATAGATTTATAATTTGTATAAATTAAAGTTGTTATATATAAATTGAATAACACTTTTAATTTGCTAAACTTGAGTATTTCTATACTAAGTCGCATCTTTTTGCTTTACTTATGCTCTATTTGTATGTGAGCACCCTGTGTTAAATTTAGTAAGGAAATGTCTTGTATTAACTTGATCATTTTTCTACGAGAAAAATAAGACATATTTTAAACATTTTTAAAATGATGACACATTTTTTTTTAATTAACAAAGCAAGATATAACTAAATTAACTCTTATTATTATTATTATTATGACGGGAAGACAAATATTTTAATAGATACAGACTAGCGGTCGGCGACACATAGAACAAACCAAACCTGAGATCAGAATTCAGATCTCGGCACTAACTACTATGCTCACACTAAATATAATGACGAAGTGAAAGAAAGCCCAAATTGTTTAAACAAAGGAATCTCAGCCTTTGTAGGTTGCCCCCCAAATGCTAAAAAAAGGTTTGATCATAATGTATACTGCATTGTCTCCTAAGAAAGAGAGGAAAAAAAAAAACCTAGTTTGCATCCAAATCACTTTTTTGGTTTTTTCTCCTTTATACTAAAAACCAAGTCCAAGATGAAAGAAAAGGTAGTGTGGAGACAAAAGGTAAAACCTAAAACCAATAAACACCCAATGTTCACTCACATCCATCCACCTATCACACCAAATCCCAACAACATACAAAACAAACCCAACAATCCCCACAAACTTCCACATGTAGCTCCTCCAACACCCTCCTAAGAGATCATAGAGAGTAGTTACAAGAAAGTGTAGTTGTTGTAGATGATGGGGAAGAAGAAGAAGCAGCAAAGGATAATAGCTTATTCTGATTGTTATCCATCACCATGCTTCCACTAGCCACATTTGTAACTCCACATTCAATACTATCCAAAACTGCACTCACATTGATATCACTCTCACCAGGTTCTGTGCTGAACAAAAAATCAATATCTTCCTCAAAGCCTGAACCATCAAACATGCCCACTAAATCCTCACCTTTGCTTAATCCCAAGTCTTGATCTTGAAACTGAGACAACCCAGTGTACATGAAGCTCCATGGTAGGTCCTGGTCAAGAACATGGTCCATAATAGTAACTAGTGAGGATTCTTCACTTGGAGAAACATGGGTATGTGGAGCTTGGTGCTGCTGTGGTTGCATGTAAAGATTTTCAGGTGGGGGTGTAGTTGTTTGTTCTTCTTCTGCTTCTTCAGAGTCAGAGGAGTTAGGAGCTATTTCTGTTTGTGGTTCTGTATGTTGGGTTTGGTCATTTTTCTTCTGTATTTTATCAATGTAGTTGCTTATGTCAAAATTGGTCACTGCATTCAGTCCTCGGTACTCTATTGCTGCCATGTCATATGCCATAGCTGCCTCCTCCTGAGTTTCTTTGATTTTCAAATCAAGCAAAGAAAAAAAAATTAGACCAACTAGTTTTGCAATTGAAACAATACATTATAAATTATAATAAAATACATTATTAATTACGAAAATGAGTGCACTTTTATATATTTTTAATAAAAAAACATTTTTATTCTTTAACCAATAGTTTAAGGATGTTTTCAAACTTCATTAGAAAATAATATTTATTATATATTATACAACAAATAAATAAATATTTTTAAAAAACCTAGCTGCTTTACATTAAATCTTAGAGATGGAGATAACATTTAAGAATAATTATAGTACTAATTAAAAATTGGTTGCTGACTATTTAATTCATAAAAGAATAGAATTTGCAAAAAGACAACTTTATGATATAGAATCTCAGAAAGTTAAAAGGATGAAGTATCGCGGCCAGGATTACTATTCACGTGCCCTCTGGATTTGGGGTGTTGTTAGTGTCTGTGACTGATCTAATTTTTTATTTTTATTTTTAATTTTAGTTTACCTTTTATAGTATTTAAACAAATTTTCAATTTTATTTTGCTTTCAGGATTGACAAATTTTTAATTACTACTTTTGACCGACACGTTGGCAGGAGATTGTGGACAGTGCATGAACTCTGCATCATCATTCATGAACAAAGTGCAAAGTCAAGGATATGCTGTACCCTCCAACATGCTTGTCTATTGGGTTTAGGGCTCTATTGTCAAATGTTGGATTGAACTTGGCCAACTAATTGTGCATAGCTGAATAGTACAACAGTAACATTATTTAGCCATTTATTTATTTTCAAAAACTTCTTAGGAACAAATTTAACTTAAAGGTATGACAAATTTTTTGACAATTTATGAAAAATAAAATTTCAAGATATCTGAATATGTATAAACAAAGAGAAGAGCTGCTACCCTCTTCCCAAAAAAAAAACAGGTAACATAATCTTCCAATAAAAAATTATTTTTTAAATGAAAATTAAAAACGGGTTTTATTTAGTGACTTTTATTTTTTCATGGACTAAACTGGGTCAAACAAAATTTTTTAAGGACTAATTTAGCTGTTTGTTCTTTAAATAAATATAAGTGCAAATTTTATTGAAAAAATTTATCATAATAAACATAATATTTTTATATAAAAATATATTTTAAATACTTAACATCAACTCTAAAAACTGATGTTAATAAAATTTAAAAGAGAGAGAGAGAGAGAGATGGGTCCTTGTTCCTTATCCCTACTCATAATAAGCCCCTGGGGATGTTCACTTTGAATAAAAGGGGGAGAGGGGTATGCACGTGCCTTGTTGCTTACTGCTGCTTGCAGCTGTAACTTTCCTATGCTCCTAATTTTATGTGATCCACATATCGTCCTGTCAGACCAGAAATTGATGTATACTGCAACTACTCGACAACACTGCTCCAGCTACACTTCATGCAATCACCACAACTCACACATGCATCCTAAAACTCAAGCTTTAACTCAACTCATTCTCACTAATTATGACAACTCCACTTTTACATGCTATGTTGTGCCGTAAAATATGTTACTTTATTTATTAAATTATCCCTATTTTTTCTTTATTATTTCTTAATCTTTTAATTGAAAAAAAAAACACTTAAACAGAAAAAAGAGTTTTTTTTTAAACTTTGATGTTATTTTTTTTTACAAAATATATTTCAGTCAAAATCACTTTTCTATTAACAAAAAGAGGTTTTAAGAGTTTTAAGAGTCGGATAGAGGGAATAAGAAATTTGAATCAGCCGTTATGTGTGCTTCGAATTTCGAAGAGCAAATTTGTCCTTTCTGTACATAAAAAATGTAATTTTTAAGAAGCTACTGGATCTGTGTGCTAAAATTTACCAGGTAAAAGGTGGCCGTTTTGCGTGTTATTGTTAAATAAATAAGAAGAAAATCAGTAAAAATTGGTATATTACAATAAAAGAAGTTGAAAAATGAAGTTAATTATTTGGTATTTTTGAAATGAACATGAAAAATTAACATAAGATTTGGTAGTAAGATTTTGGGAGAGAACAAAGGGAAAGAGTAACATCTACTAATTATGAGCAATTTATGGATTACAACATTCCTTTGCTAATGAAAAAAGAAATTTCATGAAACATAAAAGCAAAATTAGTACTACAAATTGTACTTTTTCCTTTATGGATTGCCACATTCCATGTGACATATTTTGCTTAATTAGAAAGAGAAATTACATTATTATTATTTATATATTTTTCCTTTCTCGTTTCTGGGCTCTATGTTTTCTCTTTTAAATCTCACATAATTCACCTTAAGTTTGTTTATAGCACAATCCTAGGACTCAAAGTTTGAAACAATTTTAATATAAGAAATAGAAGGATAACTTACTATATGTCCCCAAGTAGAGGTACTTGTTTCCACATACTCTTCCAATGCGAGCTTCCCAGCGGCCATTATGGTGATGCCTATTCAAATATTAGATTTTGATTAATAGTATAATACTTATTATTATTTTTATTATATACTAATATTATTAAAAATGTATAATTATATATCTTGTACAATATTGTGCATTATGGAAAAGTTTAGTATGAAATATTTCTTAAAGAAAATTGTAGCATTAATTAGCAAAAGGTAAATATGGCAAAACCTAAGAGGCTAAAGTGATGTCAGTTCTAGTGTTTGTAGCAGAAATGATACATTCCTAAACTTGATGAAGAAAAGTATGCAATGAAGAATGATTACAAAATAACAATAATGATATGCAAACATCACTTCAATGCAACCAACCTGGCCACCCCTCGGTACTTAGAGATGCCTCTGGAAAATCCACTGCTTTGCCGCCGCAAAGATGCCAAGTATTCTTCTTTTGACACTTTGTCCATTTCCTCAAGCTCCTTCACATATGTTTCTATCTGCATAGTACATCCATTCTAACTCCTTAGTCATTATCATTATTAAATTATAATTAAATATTTAATTCATTAAAGCTAAATACAAATAATCATATCATTAATAATTTATATATTAATAAGTGAATGTTTATTCAATATAAATGTCACATTAAATAAAATAATTAATAAACTAAGATACCGGGAAATTCAAGGTTGCATCTTTTCCCCAGTACTTGAGGGCTGCAAGATCATAGGTACGGGCTGCAGCTTCTTCAGTGTCATATGCACCTACATCAACAAAAGAAAAATTAAAAAATGAAATTAGTGAATTGGGTCCAAGTGACCCATCATGATCAGAATCTTTCTTGACCCTAAAAAATAATCTGGAGAAAGGATGCTACTGCATTATAATTATTAATTTAGAAAATTGAAAAGTTGACTAGGATAGTGTGAGATCCAAGTGCATGAGAAAAGGACTTACCCAAATAAACTAAACCAGCCCCCAAAAGTGTTGTGAACGTTGCAATGACAGGGGTTATCAGGAATAAAACCAAGTCAGAAAATAGATAATAATCAAAAATAAATAAAAAAATTACAAAGCGAAAAATAGTAAACAAAAACAATAGATCTCCCTTATTTTCTCACTTGTTTTTTTTTAATTTTTTTAATTTTTTTTTTGGATTAATTTAATCACCCTAAAGAAAATTACCTTGTCGCCCCTTCTTGTTCTGAATGTTGTTCCAAGAACTCTTATCCCATAGGTGAGCTTCAAACCTCCCTGTCCACCTATGCCTATTGATCAAACCCAGTAATAAGTGACATGCAAATGCAAAACTGAAAACCCATTAAGGAAAACGCAAAGAGAAATAAAAAAACATTGAGTCAAACCTTGTAACTCCTCTGTAAATGGAGCTTCTTCTGCCAGTGACTTGGTTTTGCTTACACTTTTGAGACTTCAAATTCCTTCTTGGATGCTTAGGCCTTCTCTTTTCTGATTGAATGGGAGATTCAAACCCAAAAGAAGAAGATGAAGAGCAAGAAGATGTTGGAGACCTCTTCATTTGGGCCTCAATCTCAATGCCAAAACGACCACTTGTGTTCAAAACACCCACCTAAATGTGTGTGCTTGGACTGGGATTAGACCCCAAAAAAATTAAATAAGAGAACAATGGACTATGAATGAGTTGCCAAGTTTTCTCTTTTTCCCTCTTCTGGTAGGTTCTATGATTGCATATCTTTGTATTTGTAGAAGCAGTAGTAGTAATCAGGTTACCTAAAGTGGTTTACCAAAACACAGAGAATGGGAGAGTGAAGAAGAAAAAGAAACTGGGGAGTTATAGAAGGAGTGGAAAATGTTTAAATATACAATTGAACCTTTAATTCTGGGTGTGGTGGGAAAGGAAGTGAATGGTTTAACCTTGGGTTGGAATTTAACTTGGTCAATTAACCATGGCTGATGAAATGGCTTGAATTTGAGCAACACTTGTCAAGGTGGTGCAGCCATGCTACCAATGGGGTTTTGTATTCTAAGCTGGCTTTACTGGTTTAGGAATCTCAACCCTTTTTGTCAGCATTTTATATTGGTTTTAAATAAAAATAAAACTTGAAAACTTACCTGGCTTGGATGCTGTCAAGTGTCCATGTCAGTTACTTTGAGTGTGTTTCTGAGGTATTAGTTGGAATAGGGCATGTGAGAAGAGAAAAAAGTATCTTAATCTGAATAATTAGTTGAGAATGTTATGTGCTAAGGTTATGAAATTTAACCAAATAATAATGACAGGAAACAAATATTCAGAGGCTATGTAAGCATAGGAGAAGACTCTTATTACCCTTTGTTTTGTTTATTTTCTGCCTCACCCTTTAGTATAATAATGTTTGTCATTTTTGTGTGTGCTCAATTTACAAGACAGTGAAGACTGTGACTGGAAGTTGAATCACATTAAGCAATCCACCAATTTGAATAATTTGCAGAGACTCAAACATTAACTCAATCTTTCATACATTAAATTTATTACTCCTTCTATTTTACTGTGTTAAATAATTAATAATAATCTACATGTTTTTAGTATAATATTTGTGTTTTTTAAATTAAATAATATTATTTTAGAATACCCAAAATTTAATCTTAAGAACTGGGTTAATAAAACCTTTTTTTTTTAACATTTAAGATTTTGTATGAAAGTTTAAATCTTCTTCCGTTTATTTTTATTCTTTGACACTTTAAAAATTTTATTTTGCTCACATTTTATTGTCATTTTATAAAATTAATTACCAATTAATGTTTTTTATAGCTTTATCTTAAATAATTAATGCTTATTTGATAAAAATAATAAATAAATGAAATAATTAATATAATAAATGAAAAGCATAGTAAAAAATTAAGTAATAACTTTTATAAAATTTAAAATACTTGTTATTTTTTAAATTTTTTTGTGAAGCCTTAACCGTCAAACAAAAAAGAAAAGATTATTCTATGCATCTCTGAAAAATGGCTGTTTAAAGATGTGATACAATAAATGATAAATGTATTTAATTATTATTTGTATTAAAATATTATAATTTGTTATACCTATTGATTAAAAAATTATGCAATAAATTAATAGAAAAAGAAAATACATAATGAATTTTGAAATAATAATTATCTTAATGATAAAAAAATTAAAATTGACTAAAACTCAGTTTAAATAAACTTTTGAATAAGTACTTCTGAAAATAAAAAAATTAAATGGTAAAATAATCAAACTTTACACATGAATTTAAACTAATTTATATATTTTTTTATTCTTTTAAAAATTATCTCATTTTAATTTCTCCAAAACATAAAGAAACATGTTACTTTTCTTTTTCTTTTATAAAAACGTACTCATAAACTCACTCAACTAAACTTAAAGAGACTATATATGCAGAAACAAGGGAAGTACATAATATTCTAATTTTTAAAAAATTATTAGTTAATTTTTTATTTTATTTTATTAATTTTGATCATTAAGGTTGAGTTAAAAATTTAAAAATTGTAACTTTTTCTATTAAAAATATTAATTATATATTATATATCTAATGCAATAAAACTTAATTTTTTCAATAAAATATGACTACTTTTTTTTATCTTTTAAACTTAGCCAAATGGGTTGATGTTAGTAAAACTATTTTTAATTAAACCTTTCATTTAATACATTATTTGATCTTTTTTTTTTAACATGTACCCAATGACACACAACCGAACCTATATAAGGTAAAATTTTATTGAAAAAATTATAAATGCCACAAAAATCACTGAATTTATAACATAAAATATTTTTAATAAAAAAATATTATTTATTAATTTTTTATTATATACCATTGAAATATATATTAAAACATCAATCAAATTATATATAACTTATTTATTATTTTTTTATCAAACACATTAATTATTTAAAAAATTATAAAAAGTTCATTATTTATTGAATTTATAAAATAATGATAAAAACAAATATTTAAAACTCTAAAATAATAATAATAATTTAAATTTCACAATTATTTTATTATTTGGACAAGATAAGTTAGTTACTCTTGTAATTGCTTTCCAAATTTATGTTGGTTCTGAGAAGCATTTCCTTTGGTGCAAATGCATTAATTAAATACAAAAGCAGACAATAAAGTCACATTTAAAATATTTGACCCCGAACTAATCTTGACATTTATTTTAAATTTCTTATTAAATGAAGTTTTTTTTTCTGACACTTTAATAATTTTATTTATTTTTTATTATCATTTTATAAATGAATAAATAATAAAATTTAGATTATTAACAAATTTTTGAATTTGTATACAAAACTTTAAATTTAGATTATTAGTGAGGTATCATTAAGTGATTTACATAACTTGTAAAAATTGACTTAACTTACTTGGCAAACTATTCATGTTGGAATGATATTAATGGAATGAGTTGCACGTTTCATGGACTTTTAATTTATGAACACGTTACAGAGTTTTCTTTTTCGGGGTGGCGTGTCGTTATACATGAGGAGAGGGGATGGGATGGGATCCACATTTTTTTTTCAATTTTAATAAAAATGTTAATATATTTTTCATGGTTTTATTAATATTAATTTTTAAAAATAATTTAAATACATGAAAGTAATAAAATATTTTAATTAAAATATTGATTATATTTTTACAATTTTAATATAATTATTAAAATTCTGAACATAGATCTAATTTATTGAATATAAATCTGAGTAACTAATTATCTAAAATATTTGTCTTGATAATTTAACGTTGAAATTATTATATATATATATATATATATATATATATCATTTAAGTTGTTATTAATTCATAAATGTAAAATTTCATTATCTTAACAATAATTTTTAATATTTGGCAAAAGTATATATTAATAAGTATTAAGTATAGTATATTAAATATTTAAATTATCATTAAAAAAAGTACATTAAATATTTTATGATTTTAAATAATAAGTATTCTTATTTATAATATTTTTTTCTATCTGTCGTTAGGTATATGTTAAAAAATATTTCTAATATAATAAATTTTACTTTTAAAAATTTACTTTTGTTAAATGTTATTTCTTAAATTTTAAATTATAATTGAATTTATAATTATAATTGTAAATTTTATCATAATTATTAGAAAAAAAGTTGATCATGTATAATTTAAACCTTAAAATTTTAAATTACACAACAGAATGTTATGTACTTACTAAATTGTGTAGAAAATTTTTTTATTATTAAAATATGTAATTTGATCATTAACTTTTCATGTGCTTCTCACCTACATTATACAAAAATACTTCTATTTAAAGAAGTAAAAAATCAATTTTATTTTTTTATACTTTTGATTACGTAAAATTTAGATATTAGGTTTTTAAATTATGCAACATAACTTTTTATGCACATGAAAAGTACATAGTAATTAACAGTCAAATTAAATGTCTCAGTAATAAATTTTTTTTTACACAATTTAATAAGTATAAAATATTGCATTGCATAAATTCAAAACTTAAAAGTTTAAATTAATTTTATAAACAAAGGTAAAAAATAAAAGCATATTTTTTCTATTATTATTATAGCAGTAGCAATAATAATAATATTATATTTGAAATTATATTTTATTATATAATTTAGATTAAAAGCCATTACAAGAATGAGCATTTTCATGTATCTAACAAGTTGAAAATTTAAATTTTATTTTATTTTATATAAATATCCTATATTTCTCTAATAAAAATGATCAGTCATAATATTCTTAAAGTGAAATATTTACATATTTTTGTCTTCTTTCATGTACAAATAAAATGTTCTTAAATAATTTATAAATTTAATCAATTAATTAATTATTAATTTATTTTTTTATTATCAAATATCACATATTCATGAATAATAATATGTTGTTACTTGAACCTATTAAATTAGAATATTGAGAAGTCTACATTTATTTATAAAAGAAAATGCTCATGAAACAAATCATCACAATTAGGTTAGGTCATCAGATTCACCTAAAACTTTAAGGTAATGGATATATGATAACACTCTTATATATTAATCATCTTTTCTAATATTAGATTATGCTGAGACCTCTTCTTATTCTTGACTCTATGTACTAATAATGTAAAAGATATTTTGTTAAAAATTATCTCTATATATCAAATTAAAAAACACTATAAAAATATACTTAACTTCGTCTACTTTTATTTATAAAATGACATGCATATTACTATTAATTTTGTTAATTCAAATTCTAAATTTTTCAATAAATTATAATCTCTATCATTTTTAAAATGCATTTATTAAATTATATCTGAATTAAAATAAGTTGCTAAATAGCATTTGATGGTATGCACCAAATTTCTTTTCATTTATGAAAATCAAGAGCCAAGTTGTAGACTGTTTTATGTAACTTAACTCCGTACGTGTTCGAATAACGTACACGGATTCTTTAGTTACAAGAAATTGTTACATACACGATGATAGTTGGGTTCAACTGTATATCTTATAAATAAATAAAGTTTTTTTTTTTATTTCAGCTGAGTTTAAATATATCAAAGTATTAAATTTTT